ACACACACACACACCGGGAATATGAATTCCGTTTCGTTAGATATTCTCTCCATGTTTATCGTGCTTTTTTGATTATAATTTATGGTTTTTACCGTTAATAATATCTAATATCTGTGTCCATGTCGTGCGTGTGTTTATCGGTGATGTTTTGTCGTTCGGTTGTTTGTTTGTATCAATGATGTTGGCAAATTCATAGTTTGATTTTATTTTCACAGATATGCACGCAATAAACATGTGTCAAAGGTTAGGTTAGGTTGGAAGAATTTTTATGAATTTTTTTTTGTTTTGAGAAAATTTCCATAAATGTGCCACCAGTTTTTTCCTGTATGATCATCATTGATATTTTATTGATCGGAACAACAAAAACAAAACAAAACGATATTAATAAAATAAATGGCAGAATATAATTCCGGAATCTTTATTATCATTATTATCATTATCATCAGGAGAATAATTTGAATTCAGATATTCCAGTTTGATGATGATATTTATCGAATGAGAGAGATAGTGTGAAGGAAAAAGTGAGAAAAAGAAAAATCGAAAGAGAGCAATTTTGGCGAAAATATATTTTTTTTTGTTCCAGGGAAATTTCTCTGGAAAGAAAAAATTATTTCTTCAAATATAGAATCGTGATGAATAATTTGATCTTTTTTGCCCTTAAACACTAAACACTTTGATCATAAACATTTTACTATTTTGATCAAAATTTGATTATCTATTTTTCTTGATTCTTTCCACCAAACAACCAACCAACCAACCAATCATAAATACAGAACAAACATAAGTGAAATACATACGCCATAAAGAGAGAAAAAACTAATTGAAAGAAAGAAAGAAAAATCTAATTAAGAGATCAGAAAAGAAAAGCTTGCAGATAATTTTACCAAGAAAAAAAATGAATGAATGAAAATAAGCGAATAAAAATAACAAAATTATCATCATCATCATTGGATTTAAAGATATATAAAAATAATAATGAAAAATAGAAATTCTGTTTTTTTTTCGGGAATAATTCCGGGAATTTACCGGGGAAAACAAAACAGAAATATTTTCGCTCTCTCTCTCTCTCTCTCTCTCTTTCTCTCTCTGACACACAAGCGGGATTAACCATTCATTTTTCCTATTCCAATTTTTTTTCCACGTTTGAACTTTAAACCTTTAACATCCCATACTTTTTATTTGATTTTCGGGAATAAAATGAAACGGTAAAAAAAAACTATACACAAAATACGTACACACACACCAGCTTTAACCATTATCATCATCAAAAGGATGATTCAAATCACAATTTTTCTATATAAAATAATGTTTAGAATAAAAATCATCATCATCATTATGATTTTTGTATATGCATAGAGTGAGTGTAGAAAATGATGCGGATAAAATTCTTTTTTACCAAAAACAGAAAACGAGAAAACGAGAAAAGAATTAACATCATTTTAATCTCATCATTATCATTAGGTTTTTTTGTCGTTTCGTTTTGTTTTTTCATTCTCTGAATGAATATGCAAAGGATGCTTATAATAAATATATTTTTATTCATTTCCAAAATCATAATAATGAAAAAAAAACAATAGCGAGAGAGAGATGGGTGAATAGAATATTCCTGCTTCTTTGAAGGTTTTATAGTTTTTTTTTTGTTTTGTTTTTTCATAGAATTAAATTCTGTGTGTGTGTGTGTGTGTCGTGGAAAGGGGTTAAATTCACCAAATGTTTTTTTCTTTCTATTTCAGTCAAATTTCGAAAATTGTAAACAAACAAACAACCAGAATAACGTTGTGAACAAATAAATGGAAAAAAAATTTGCTGTTGTTTTTTTTCTCCGTATACCACTATGGAATTCTTGTGTAATAATAAAAAACCAAACTAACTAAAGGTAACCGTTTTTTTGGTTTCTTTCAAACAAAAACGAAAAACCACATCGAAACACAACCAAGAGAGAGAGAGAGAGAGAGAGAGAGAGAGAGAGATGCAAAGTTATTGCATAATAAAAATAGCAAAAAACAACAACATTGACTTTTGGCTTTACCATAAGAAAAAAAATCTTTATTTTATTTTCATTTAAAAAAAAATTCAGAATTGAATTTTCTCTATAGCTCTCTCAGTTGGCCATAATCACCATTTTTTTTTTACTTACATCAAACCAAATTACAAGCTAAAGATAATCAACAACCGAAAAAAAAATAAACATCATCAATAGATTTTTTTTATTTTATTTTATTCATTCAACCATGTTTATAATGATGATGATCATCATCATCATTATAGTGGTAATTTCGGGTTAATATAAATGTAAAAAACATTGATGAAAAAAATAAATGAATAAAGGTAATATGTGTGTATAAATTATTAAACATTATCATCATCAAGATGTAATGTTTATTTCCATTACAAATGTTATGTATTAACTCTTTTTTTTTACTACTGGAATGAATTTAAAGTATTTTTTTTCAGTGATTATTAATATTAGATGATGATGAGAAGAGAGCGAAAGAATTGTGCATAAAATTTAATGTTTTTTTTTTGTTTTGTTTTGAAAATTTTATTTTAAATTTTAGTTCCGCTTGACCAACGACGGTAAAGGGTTGAAAAAAAAATTTCCCGGAAATTTTTCTCAAATAATCTCAAGGCAAGATTTATTGGAATATTTTTTTCGGTTTGATCATAAGATTGGATTCCATCATTTGATCACATAACAGGACAGAATCTTAAGACTTTTTATCTTGAAAACAAACAACCGACAAAAAAAAACAAACAAAAATTAGCAAGCGATAAATTCTTCTATCCAGAAGAAGAAGAAGAATATAGAATTTTTTTCGTTTCGTTAGTTAGCTTTTGTTAAGCCAATTAACGTTTTGTTCTGCAGCAAAGAAGAAGAAAAAAAAATTATGCAAATCATCCTATCATTATGAATATTATATATGTCATAGTGGAACGATAAAAAAAAATTTGATCCTAAGAAAAACTAAGCAAAAAGAAGAAAGATATTAATGATGATAAGAAGAAGAAATAACATTGTGGAAATGCCAACAAAATAAAGAAAGAAAAACGAAATTGATTTTCACAGGTCAAATATTTGCATATAATCATCATCGTATGTGTCATCATCATTGTTGTTGTGCGGATATAGCGCGCATCAATTTCTATTTTTTGGCTTCTGGTATCCAATTTATCTATGCTAATAAGATTGGTCCGATATAAATTGGCAGAATGCAAAGAGCAAAAAGCACACACAAACAAAAACAGAAAAACTTACTTTTACGAACATCCAACGTAAGTATTGGTGCCAGCTAAATTGGTAAAGTAAAAAAAAATGTTTCCAAAAATCATTATATGGCGATCGATTCATGTATGATAACGATATCTTACCTCATCATCTTTATACCAAAGAACCAAAACAATTTGATCATCCATTGTTGGTGGTTGTATATCACATGGTAATTGTACTTTATCATTGATTAGTACGGTATAAACAAATGTTGCTAAAGAAAAAAAATAAGAAAAAAAAAACAAGAAAATTAGGAAATTAGAAAACAAGAAAAGCAAGAAAAGTAATTTATTTAAAAGAATCAAAAACTGAATCGAAAATAAATTTTCTTTTCATACAGAAAAGGGAAAAATTCCGCTAGAAAATCAAATTTTTGTTTCAGAATTTTTTTTAAAAAAAACTTGACATGATAATTTACTCTTGCATACAGTTGACAACGAGACAACAGCAAAAAAAAGTTTCATGACAGTTTTTTTTATTTTTCGTTGTTCATAATAATTCATAACCAACGGAAACAAACAAAAGGCAAAAAGAATATTCTGTTTGCCTTTTGTTTCCAATTTTGAATCAAAAGAATTCTGTTTTCCATTATTTCATTATTATCATTTTGTCTGACAAAACAAAACAAAAAGCTCCAGAATATTTTCCTTCTCTTTTTGCAAAGAATTTTTTGTCATTTCAAAAAAATGAAATTTCAAAAGAGGTGAACCATTTTTGTTTCTGTCCTGTTCATAAATAAAGTAACTGAATTTACAGAAAACATTTTGAACTAATCAAGTGTTAAACAAAACGTAATCGGTAGATTATATATTCAATTTAAATAGGGTTAATTTGTCATCATCCTCTGTGTGCTAATCGTGCGTGTCTACATTTTTAGGATGATAATCAGATATCTTTTTATCTCAACAAAAAAGTAATGAGCCCTTTTAACCCCCAACCCTCAACTCCACTAACCAGAAAAAAAGGCATTAATCATCAACCCGAAAATCAAGTGAAATAATCATGCAATAATCATAATGATGATGATGCGCCAGACATTTACGTCAAATCAAACCAGATCATAACCAATCAGTCAGCCAACCACAACAAACAAACAAACAAACAGAAAATAAAGCCAAAAAAAAATCAAGGGAAAAAAAACCAAAGTAGTTCTTCACTTCTAAATGCTAATAATAGCAACAACCAAAAACAGTATAAAGTACATCAACCCTTCGATTGGATCCGGTTGGAACCAAGAGAATTTTTTTTCTGTTTGTTTGTTTGTTTGTTTGCTTGTCATAAACAGAGACAAAAAAAAACATATATATGAAAAAATATGAACATAAATACATATTTGGGAAAAAAAAGCCGAAAAACCGAAACAACAAAAAATCAAACAACGTCATTCATTTCATTCGTTTGTATTATCCATAAGTGACCATTCATTCATTCATTCATTCATTCAATGATGATGATCCAAAAACAACAACAACAACAAAAAAGTAAAAGTAAAAGTAGTAAATTTGTATCCATCCAATAATAATAATCATTATAATGATAATGATAATGATAATGACGATAAATACAATATATCTCTTTCTTTTTCTCTCTGTGCTTGAAAACTTTCATCTACATTTCATTTGGAGAGAAAAAATATTACAATAAGAATTTATTTCCCCAATAAACAATGTATAAACCGCAAACGCACAACATTTATCAATATTCAAGTCGTGAAATTGTTATGGAATTTCTCTTTCTCTCTATTTTTTTTTTCAATCATCATAGAGAATATAGAGAGGGAATCGAGAATAGAATATTCTGCAAAACATACAAAATGAATGAAAATGAATATGAAAATAAACTCTGTATATATGTGTGTGGAAAAAACAATGCGGAAAAAATGGATAGATAGATAGATAGATAGATAGAAAATTCATGTCAACAACCAAAATTTGTCCATAATATTAATGAATTATCGTTGCTGGTAAAAAAAACCATGGGAAATATTACGGAAAGAATTTGACCAAAAAATTGTTTTTGGTTAAGGCCGGTTTTTCTGCTGGTTATGTAATTCAATGATTATGAGGATGACAAAAATAAAAAATTGTTCATTCAAAATCAAATTTGATCATGTGATTTCAGCATCATCAAATTGAAAACAGAAACGAAAATTGATGCGAATCGAAGCAATAACCATGGTTTTTTTTCAAAGGAAAAAACGAATGATGAAATCCTTTACCAATGAATCATTCAAATGAATGAACAAATATTTCCAACTTTTTCAGAAAATTGTTTGACAGATAAACAAAATGAAAAAACTTCTCTTCACCAAAATAGCATCATCATCCCAGCATCATGCAAAACAAAAATCTTATCAGAGAAAAATTTGCAAGAAGAAAATCATTACCAATTCCGATTTTTTTTTCATTTTTGTTACCCAAAACTTTGATGATGATTTCCAATGATTTTTTGTTTTTTCCCAATCCAAACTAATCATCATTATCATTAGTAGTCTCTCTCTCTCTCTCTCTCTCTCTCTCTCTCACGATATGGATGAATAAATGAAAAAATCATTGTCATTTAACCCAAAATTTACCATTCAAAAAAANAATATTCTGCAAACATACAAAATGAATGAATGAATATGAAAATAAACTGTGTATGTGTGTGTGTGGGAAAACAATGCGAAAAAAATAGATAGAAAATTCATGTCAACAACCAAAATGTCCATAATATTAATGAATTATCGTTGCTGGTAAAAAAAACCATGGGAAATATTATGGAAAGAATTTGACCAAAAAAATTGTTTTTTGATTATGATTCATGCCGGTTTTCTGCTGGTTATGTAATTCGATGATGATTATGAGGTTGACAAAAATAAATAAACGTTCATTTGAAATCAAATTTGATCATGTGATTTGATCATCATCAAATTGAAAACAGAAATTGATGCGAATCAAAGCAATAACCATGGTTTTTTTATCAAAGGAAAAACGAATGATGAAATCCTTTACCAATGAATCATTCAAATGAATGAACAAAAGGAAAAAAAAAAAAATTTCCAACTTTTTTCAGAAAATTGTTTTGAATAAACAAAATGAAATGAAAAAACTTTTCTCCACCAAAATAGCATCATCTCGAAACAAAAATCTTATCAGGGAAAATTTTCAAGAAGAAAATCATTACCAATTCCGATTTTTTTTCTTCTTTTTGTTACCCAAAACTTTGATGATGATGATTTCCAATGATTTTTGTTTTTTCCCAAATCCAAACTAATCATCATCATTATCATTAGTAGTCTCTCTCTCTCTCTCTCTCTCTCTCTCTCACGATATGGATGAATAAATGAAAAAATCATTGTCATTTAACCCAAAATTTACCATTCAAAAAAAAAA